ATTTCACTTTGTCACTCTACACATTGGGTTCACGTTGACAAGGTAAATGAAGGGATGGATGAAATTTGCCTGTCTGCTTGCTTGTTTCAAGTTGTCCGTGTAATGCCTCTTGCCCACAGAATCTGTAAGGGTACTTACAGAATGGGAAGGATTTATAGGTGCTGTGGGAATTAGGGTACAATGTACCTCACAGGCCTGGCTTAACTGAGATTTAACTTTCAGGACTTGTGCAAAAGACCATCTCCTAATATCTCCCTGACCAATAGATAGGAGCATTGAGCTTGAATGTGGAGACCATTTTTGCATGTCCCCCGAGCTAGAAAAAAGAATACCAGTGATGTAGTTGACACTGTGTTGGGCATCTTTCACATACCTTTCATCATTAAGTCTTCACAACCACCCAGCAAATTAAGTGCATGAGCTAATAAAGACCTTTTAGATTTTGCTTATGTAATTATCTACTCAATTCTTTAATATAGGCTCTAGTAACTGCAGTGAAGTCTTTGATGCAAATAAAACATTTGAATAATGTTAAAATGTTAATAATGTACTTAGTGTATTTGTTAATAACCCTTGTCACACATTAGCCAAAAATGATACCAGAGCCTCTAGAGCAGGAGTGGGGAACTTTTTTTTTGCCAAGGGCCATTTGGATATTTCTGATATTCTTGGGCCATACAAAATTATCAACTTAAAAATTAGCTTGCTATATTTGGTCAAACGTTTAATTAACTCACCCCTAATGTGATGGCTGGAACTGCTTCTCTTTGGTGAGGCCATGGCAGGGCCAGATCAGATGATTTCCCAGGCCATGCTTTACCACCCCTGCTCTAGAGTAGGAAAGGGAACACAATTTGAGCTTGCATGCCCAGCATGTCCTGGATTAACTGGCAGATACTACGAAACTAATTGCTTATAAGGTGATCCTCAGGGCTTCCAGTAGGTGGCTCTTACTACCTTAAAGCAAATAGCTTAGAGGGAGACAAACAGTTGCCTGGTGCCGCCTTCTCTGGTAACATCTTCAGGAATGAACATGACTCTTTCTCCCAGCTCTGTGCCTTTGGCTCTGCTTTCATCTTACAGTGAGGGACTTTCTCCGCCAAATGATCCTTTCCCATCTGTGATTTCCTCTCCTCCAGAACAGTTGGGTACTTCTTATTAGCATTAACATAGTGAAGCACAAGTTGATGCTGTTTTTCCAGAGTGGGCCTAATAATCATAGGGCTGTTAGTGTCTCGAGGGTGCCCGGTTTGGGCTGCCTTTGTGGTTTTTAGACCTCTCCTGGTTTGACTTTGTTTATTTTTATTTAAGCATTGAATGAGATGGAAGACATGGTGCAGGAAGATGGGGAGTTGGTGCCCGAGAGTGGACGTGAGACCCCAGCGCACAGCCAGGGAGTCCTGCCTGTGGACATTGATGAGGAGCAAGCAGGTAATCGCGGGGCTTCCCACGCTCATGGCTCTGAGGACGGGGGCCAGACTCCAACGAAGTAGAACGCTGAGAATGGTTAATTTTTACATCACGGCTAGTGATATGTTATATGCTGTTTATTATTGAAGGCTATATTATATTTATGTTCTCTTTGTTGCGTGTATATGTATATATTTTACTAACGTTTGCTTTTGGTTTTTTGTAACTGTGACAACAACTCTTTATTGTGTGTGTGTGTGCGTGTCCTCTCCCTTCATTTTGGGGACGAGGGAAAGCAGTGGAGAGGTTGACCTGGTTTAGTAAGTTGACCAGGATCTAATCTCCTTTTGCCATTGGTTGACTTGTGGCAGGCTGTAGTCAAAGGCCCTTAAAGGTTACCTAATACAGCACTCTGTTTTACAGGTAGGGAGACTAACATTCTTTCAGAAGTTTGAATGTTTTTGCTCAAAGTCACTCAGCTGGTGAGCAAGGCACAGATAATTCACGTTATCTCACTCCTGGTCTATTGGAGGCTACCTTGTCTATGAGTTGAAAATATCTTCAACTACCCTGTTTTAAGTGTCTTACGAATACTTCACTTATTCAACAAATACTGAATACCTACTCTTTGCCAGGCAAAGAGTTAACAGAGAAAGGATAGGCCGGGTTCCTTAGAGCTTACATTTTATCGATGGTGCAAATGTCAGTCACTCTCCAGAGAGAATTGGCTCATAGAAGCTAAAGGTTTACCATGTGTACTGCCAAGCAGATAAAACATTTTTTCAAAAATATAAATACTCAACCAAACAATAACATGCATCTAGCCTTTCAGGAACGTATCTGCTACATCCAATGAGTTAGACCTATATTCCGTTAAAGAATGTGGACTGTTCTCACCAGTCCCAGACATGTCTGAGGTTCATCTTCATTTCCTTTGCCTTCTTTTATACAACTGCAAAATTGGAAAAATAGCCTATTTTTAAAATGATGATCATGACTGTTTTGATTATATTAGCATGACTTACGTGATATTTTCAAATAGTGAAGGCCCTTTAGGGAGATGCCATGTAATCTATTTTAATTTGCCTTTAGAAATGTATAAAGTTAGTTGGCATATTAATCATACTTAATGTTTATACAATGCTTTAAAGTGCTTTCACAGCATCTCATCCAAGCGTATATTCCATTAAATGAGTGCTAAGGGAGGCTCCATAGAGCCAGAGCATGTGTGTGAGCCCAGATTCCTGGAAACAGTACTTCAAGTGAGAGCCTTTGTTGTGCAAAAAGTAACTGTTATGCCTGTGCTTTTTGTTTTAGGACCCAGTGGTCTTCAGCGTGTAGTGAAACCAACTCCAATTACTGTTCATGATTCAGAGAGTGATGATGAGGAAGACAGTCTAGAGCTCCAAGAAGTCTGGATTCCTAAGAACGGTGCTCGGCGTTACTCTGAGCGTGAAGGAAAAACCGGAGAGTCCGTGCAGTCCAGGGAATTGTCAGGTGAGAGATTTTGTCGAACTCTGACCTGTTAGTGAGAGTCGTGAGAACTGACACGTGGCCTTTATTTATATAAAGTGTCCCCACCACGGCTGGTGGTGCAGTTAGCATCTCCTTACGAAATGTGACAGAAGGCAGGAAGGGCAGTAGCCCAAGTGAGAGTGGAATCTGGGTGGTGCTCTCGAGGGCCAGTGTAGCACAATAAAAATATTGTGGAATCAGGGCTCCGGGAGGAGAAAACATGAGGATTGTGACTCCTTAGTGGAAGCTTTTAGGAAGTGGAGATGTCGGGGGTTAAGGATTAGCAAGAGGGCTTAGTCACTGAGCCACCCATAGCAGTGAACACACAGACATGCCCCAGCTCATAATCTGTCCAGTTGTGCTTAGTGAGTATTGGTGACTGGTTTGGTGCTTGGGGAGTCCTAAAGTATGTTCTTATAATCCCCCACCTCTCTTCAAATCTGGTCAATAGCCCTCTGCCATTTGTGTCACCAAAAAACTATAATTCTCTTAACTTTTAGGTTCATACTTCTTCCTTGTTTCTCCTTTGTTTCTCAGAACCATATGCTTACCGCTTTCAGCAAACAATGAGGTTTTAAAAATTCTCCACTCATTTTTCCGTGGGTGACCTACTCCTTAATATGTTTGAATGTTAAGCATACATTTAACACCAAACCTAAAATATATATACACTTCTGGGTATGGAAAGCTCAGTTCTTTAAACTTGGGAAATTTTCTAACCATGGACTAATCATGCAGTTATTTTATGCCTTTTAAGAAATTCAGATATCTTTACACTGTGGTTGAAAGGAGCTTAATGGAAACTGAAATTAGGAGGAGTAGTATGACCAGCTGATTAACCATATGTTTCCTAGAAAATTCAGTTTCTGAATATAGAAACTAGATCTTCTGTCAGCCTGACAAACCCTGATTTGTTTAAGTATCCTTTATATATTCATTGAGCCTTACTGTGCCCCAGGCACTGTGTTAGATGCCGTGAGGGATACAGAGATGAGTAAGTCATGGTCTCTCTAGGGAGCCCCTAGTCTGGTTGAAGCGTCAGGTCAAACCGTGTATGATAACATCACACTACAGTGGTTTGGGGTGGAGGTGCAGAAGAGATTGAACAGAGGTCAAAGACTGAGGTAGTAAGGCAGGGATATAGTCAGAAAATAGTTTGGGCTGGAATGTGGAATGCATACAGAGGGAAGAGGAATGGAGCATAAGTATGGAATCAGATCCTGCTGAGCCTTGAGGCTGAGCTGAGAAGCATAAACCAGGTAGGCACTAGGAAGCCACGGAGAAATTTTGAGCAGCTGAGTGATATGGTCACCATTGTACTTTAGGAAAATTAGTGTACATTGTTTCCTGTTCCAAATTTACTCTTGCCTTTTGTCTAGAATTTGTACTGAAATCTTTTCTTTTCCTTGGGCCATTCTTCTTTTTCTATAAGCAGTAAGTGGAAAAGGCAAGACTCCACTTCGAAAGAGGTACACCTCCCATCAGATGGGCCAGTCGAAGCAGTTTCCCCTCGAGGAAAGCAGCTGTGAGAAAGGCTGTCAGGTCACCAGTGAGCAGATCAAAGCTGATATGAAAGCAGCTAGGGATACTCCTGAAAAGAAAAAAAACAAGGATGTTTATCCCAGCTGCAGCACCGCCGCCAGCACAGCAGGAAACTCCAGCTCGCTCAGCACTGCTTCTCAAAGCCCTGACTGTGTAAGGACGGTGAGCAGCGGCGGCTCTTCCGAGCCTAGCCCTCCCGAAGTGGATGTGCCCAGGCAGTGCGTCTGCTCCCCTGCTGGGTCAGAGGACTCTGAGGCCATGGAGGAGGGAGATGCAGAGAGCTCTGTCTGTCCCAGATGCTGCTGTCGCAGGCCCCAGGAACCCCAAAGGAGAACTGGCAGGTGCTCTGATGAGGAACGTCCTTCAGCCAGCCGAGCCTGTGTTGTGAGTGGCCCGGATGGTACGAGACCCACCTTGTCCTTTAGGACTCTACCCCACGGGGGGTCTCCAGGCCCAGCACATCCTGAGAGGACCGATGGGAGTGGCTCTGGGGCTACAGGTGAGGACAGGAGGGGGAGCTCCCAGCCTGAGAGCTGTGACGTGCAGTCTCATGAAGACTACCCTCGGAGGCCCCTAACAAGGGCCAGGAGCAGACTCTCCCATGTCCCGCTGGTATCTGAGTCAGGTATGACAATGCTGCCAGGACTAGCATCTGCAGGGTAGGACCGCAGAAGGGTATTCGCTCATGCTATAGGTTTTCCTGCATAAGTCCAGTTGGGCAAACTGAATTCTACATTGGCGTTCTGTGATCCTACAGATTTTGAGCTACTTTTCAGCAGTGATGGGGGGAGGGGAAGGTATGTAAAACAGATTGTAAAGCATCCAACCCAGAAAAACTCAAGAAGTTGTTTCTAAGAAAAAAATATCACCGTGTATATTGACCCTAACTACAACACTGATTCTGCTGTGTAAGTCCCAATACTCCCATCCCACACGCAGGGAAGTCTTACTATGGGTGAAGTTTTGAACCTTAGCCAGAAGGTAAGGCCTGGAGTTGATGGGGCTGTGGAAACATATATGGGTATACCCCTACATCTCCCTCTGTAGTTACTTAGTAATTTTTTCTGAAGTTTAGTTTTGTATCTAGTTGCCTTTGTCAGGATATAAGCAGGTAAGTCAGCAGTTTAGCTGAGGATTATTTTGGTGAAGATATACTCAAACATATATATGTATATAATTTCATTAATATTTATAACGTGAACACCAAGGTATGGTTGGGGTGAGCACATTTCTTAGTCATAATTCTGTTTCTATATCTGACCTTATTTTTAAGTTATCTATGCCTTTACTAAAGCATGTATACCTACCTATCAATGAATAATAATATATTTTAATTTTATCTAAGTCTCCCTCAATTTCAAAATCTTAAAATCAGCCCCAGAACATAGTCACTTTTTTAAAATATACTAAATAGAGCTGATTGCATCATGGGGTGTTAAACTAACAAAAATAAGCTTTTATAAGATAAATATGAGAACGTAAGTATGTGCTAATCATAGTAGCATAAACTCATATTAAAATACCTGAGCTTTCTTTGAAGATTTCATTATGCTTTGCAAAAACTAGTTCTGCCAGATGATGAAAATACTTTTTCCCAGCTTGAATTTTAAATGCTTTATGGAATTTTTATACTGAACGGAATTTACCATGTTAACTGTTTTGAAGTCTGCAGTTCATTGACATGAAGCACGTTCACATCACTGCGCATCCCTCACAGCATCCATCTGAACTTTTCATCTCCCCAGACAGAGATGCTGTGCCCTACACAGAATCCCCATTAAACAGAAGTACCCCCCTAGGACACCTTCTGTTGCACTTGTACCTTCGATACTCTTAAGTTGATCTCTGCGCATTCGGTTCTATTCCAGTGCTCTGTCCACTTTCATTATTCTTTGTCAGAAGTTCCTTGACTGGTCATATGTTTATCATTTATTTTTAGAATGGTATTGTATAATAATTTTTTCAAGCTCTAAAAACAAATCTTGGTTTTTGTTTGGAATTCTGTTACTTTGATTGAAAAGATTATTATTTTTGCAACACTGTGCCTTCCTGTTTAGAGACTATTATTTTGTCTCCTATTTTGTCTTATGTCTTTTGGTAGTTTTATAGTTGTTACCGTTTAGGGGTTTTGGTTTGTTTTATTTTTGTTTTGTTTTTTTAATCCTCACCAGAGGATATTTTTTGCACTGCTTTTCATAGATAGTGGAAAGGAGGGAGAGAGAAGGAGAGAGACGGAGAGAGAGAAACACCAATGTGAAAGAGACACATCGATTGGTTGCCTCCCTCACGTGCCCTGAATGGGGCCAGGGATCGAGTCTGCAACCGAGGCACATGCCCTTGGCTGGAATCAAACCCCAGACCTTTCAGGCTGTAGGCTGATGCTCTGACCACTGAGCCGAACCAGCTAGGGCTTATTTTTGTTTTTAACATACATGCTTTATGTTAACCATAGGGGGTAGGGGACTGTGACTTATGTTTTGCCTTGTGTTCTGCAATTTCTTTTACTGTTTCCTTCTGATTTGTTTTGTAACTAGAACTTAGGTTAACTAATTTCCTAGAATCAAAAATATATATTTCATTTATATAGTGCTTTTTATTTTTTAAGTAAATTACATCTTTTACCTTGTGATTTTTTTTTTTTTCCAGTTTGAGATTTCTCATGTATGTAGCTAATCTGTATATAGTAGGTAAATTATTTTCTAATATTTTTTAAAAACGACACAAATGTCCATTTACTTTCAATAACATCTTTTCTGTTGAAGTGCTGGTTTTGATATCATCCAGCTTTCTTTTGGAAAGAACAAGTTATTTGGATGGCTTTCAACTTATTTTTCATCTGGCATGTTTTTTATATTGGCCATCCTGCTTTAAAAGTTTTAAGGAGAAGAAGCCAACTAATAAAGGAACAAACTTGATTGTTACGGATTTTTTAAAATTACTTTAAAAAAACATGAGTTTTTTATTTAGTTTTCAATTTATGGCTTTATGTAGTGTTGAAACCATATTAGAAGTTAATATAGTTACTTGTCTTGTGACTTCCTATTTTGATAATAAATGCCTGTAAGTTGTTTTTAATTTTCATTGTATAATATTTTATAGAATAAATATCACAAAAATAACTCATTAGATTGTCAAAGAATAACACTTAGGATTGATATGGTCTGGTTCTCATAAATACTTCTTTCCCTGACATCTGAGACTGGATTGGTTTGCTTTTCTGTGTTCTGTAGCATCTCCTGCACTAATGTTAACTACACTATGTTGTAATTTCGTGTTTTACTGTCTTTCCAATAGACTATGAGCTCCATGAAGGCAGGGACAGTGTCTGCTTGTCCGCTATTATATGCCCAGCTTCTAGAATAATGGGGCTCAGTGAATAATTTTGAACTTAATCAGTGGTAGGAACCATCAAATGAGGTATGTTGATGCTGGTGGATCAGTGAGTTTTCAGCTGGTGTGCTGCAAGAATTTTTAAAACATGCAACACATGACTGTTTTGTCAGGGACACTGACCTCTTTCCCTAAGATTGTCAAATAAAAAAATGACAACAACCAACACAATGGCCATCCAATGTGAGTGAATCAAAGTTACACATATTTTTTTTGTGTCCATTTGGCAAAATATACATTTTTTGATGTGCTGCAGAATTTTAGATATTAGTTTATGTGCCATGAGATGAAAAGGGTTGAAAACTGCTGTGGTGGATGTATGAAATTACTAACAGTTGTCTCCAAACAAGATTAATTGTCCCTAAACAAAGAAGGAGACATAAGAAAGTAACAGGATGAACTCTGTTTTCCTTTTACATGGGGAAGCCTTTGTTTTTCAAGGCTATTGTCATGTAAAGTGTGACTTAGTTTTATAACTTTTCTTAGAAAATATAACCAATTGGGGCACTCTAGAAAGCAGGAAATTTAACTTTGAACCCCATATTCTGATGAATTAGAGCAGAGGGGAGAGAGCAGTCCAGGAAGGGGAGTTTGAATGTTGGATTGTAAAGGAGACTGCTAATAGAAAATTCTTACTTGAACACTGTCACAGAGGAATGAAACAGACCTGCTTTCTGTATGTTTGTTCGCTTTCATTTCTGTGGTATGAGGAGAGGGAGCCTGGACTTCTAATTGGTTGTAACAGGTGTGTGAATTTTGTCTGGTATGTGAAATAGGCTGCCTTTAGAAGATGCCTTGTCAGTGAAGATGATTAGATTTTACACGAAGTTCCTGCAGGAATACTGTGGAAAGCAGCCTTCACTGGGTTGCCTAGATCAGTAGTTTTTATTTTTTTCTAGAACCCCAGGGATTTGCTTAGGCTTGGGGTCCTTGTAGGAAGTTTGATGGGTAGAACCCTTGGTTCCCTTTCAGGCTTCAATCAAAGCTTTCACTTGTTTTGTATGGTAAGATTTCTTTTTTTTTTTTAAGTATATCTTTATTGATTTCAGAGAGAGGAAAGGAAGGGGAGAGAGAGAGCTAGAAACATCAATGATGAGAGAGTCATTGATCGGCTGCAGCCCGCAACCCGGGCATGTGCCCTGACCGGGAATCGAACCGTGATCGCCTGGATCCTAGGTCGACACTTAACCACTGAGCCACGCCCGGCCGGGCTCACAAAGATTTCAGATGGTGAAGGAAAGGTTCTGATATTTAAAAAAACACACGTGGACTGACTCTTGAGAGCTCCCATCTATAAGCCCAAGCCTTTGGCAGCTTGCAGTGTTTGCACCTGCTTCCCTATCTTTTTTACAGTCTTTCATGCCTGAAGTTAGAGTCTTACCAGTGGAGTTTGTAGTCTAGTAGTGGTGTGTGAAAGGGCAGTGCGATGGGATTTCATTCCCAAAGCTTGGTCTTCAACCAGGGTCTGCTCCGCTACAAAATGACTGTCAAAATGAGGACTGACTTCTCGTGTCTTGTTTAGAATGTATATGTGCTTGTTAAGTTTTAGAGATGAATTTAGAACTTGTATTTAAAATCGTATTTGCTTTACTTATTAAACAAAGTGTTTTAGGACAATACTAGCATGTTTTAGGACCTAACTAGCAAATGAGTTAGGGCCTTACCAACTAGCATTTGGCAGATAAAAGATTAGACATTTTCTAGCATAGTGACTGGCAGGAGGTTGCCTGGGCTTGGCTCGGGTTCCACCTTCACAAGCTTCCCTTGTCTCAGGTTCCTAATTTAAAATAAGGAGAAGAATAAATCTATCTCAGAGAGCTGTTAGAAGGATTAAATTACTTTAATGCAAATGAAGCCCTTAGAAAGTACCTGACACACAGTAAGTGCTCAGGAAATACTTGCCATTATTATTATTATTCCACTTACATATCTCTGATGCATTCATTCATTCAGTGAATGCTGGGTGCCATTCATTCAATAAATGTTCATTTTAGCTCATTGCTAGTGGCTGACATTGATACAAAAATGAAATAAGACAGTGTTGTTGCCTTCAAGGAGCTTTTAGTTCAAATGGAGAAACAAAAGTATACAGGGAATTACAGAGACAGAGCACTATATAATGTTTGGGAATCCAGGTGATTTGTAGAGCAGGTGACTTTTCAGATTGTCTTTTCAGGGATGGATAGTATTTCCAAAAGTGAAGTCTGAAAAGTTGTTCTGGGCAGAAGGAGCTAGAATGATTAATGGCATCAGAGGCATTGGCAGTGGGAGATGACGAGGATAATAGTATGGAGTAAAACTGAGCAGGTGGGTCCAAAGCATAGCTCCAAATGTCAGGCATTGAAATGCAGCTATTAAGCAGCCGTTGAGAATTTAAAGTTGTTTAGCAACTGGTGAGTTTAATCCACCAATGATAATTCAGATGGCTGAGGTGACTAGAGATGGAATGTTCCTTAGACTGTTGGAATGGCCCAGGTGTGGAAAGGGATACCGTGTTTGAGATAGTGGAGGGTAATCTTGTTTAGGAACCATCATTTGTAAATAGTGGGCTGACTATATTCCATTGGGGACCATGTACCTTTTGCTTTTTCTAGAGGTTGCCAAAACAAAGCCGCGGCATGCTATGAAGCGGAAGCGGACAGCAGATAAGTCCACCAGTACCAGTGACCCTGTGATTGAGGATGACCACGTGCAGGTGAAGAAAAAGCCCTCCCTCACCTTTCAGGCCATCCATGGTCCTGAATAATGTAAAGGACCTAAAGTTTCCATCTTTATATACTTTCTTTGCTCTAAACAGAAGAAATTGGTAGCAACAGCTTCTCACTTTTGCCAGTGAAAACATTTAAGTTCTCCAAAGACAGTACAGAAAGAGACATCTAACTTAAAAATTTTCTCCTCATAGGTCCTTGTGTTAAAATCCAAAAATCTTGTTGGAGTCACTATGACCAACTGTGGAATCACAGATCTGGTGCTAAAAGACTGTCCCAAGATGATGTTCATCCATGGTATGTATTTGGGCTCCTGTTACACAAGAGCATCGTGAATGAGTTTAAAGAATTAAGGACTCATAAAGGAATTGTTACTTTGAATTATTTCTAATTCTGTCCTTGTTCTATAGTTCTCAGATAATTACTCAGTAGTATTTGTGAGGGGCCATGTATAGAAACTTGCTTGGTTCATCTTGTAAAACAGCCTCTTATCAATGTTTCTCTTTCATCAATGTTTCTATATCCATCGCCCTTCCTCTCTCTCTAAAACTCAACAAACAGATTTTTTTTAAAAATTGGCCTCTCCCTCCGTTTCCTCTAAATGATCACCTGATCTGATTGAGCAGAATAACAATACATATGCACTTTGGAGTTCAATAAACCTCAACTTGGGTCCTGTCTCTGCCATTTGCTAACTGCAGTGTTGGACATGTTTTGTGTATAAATGTTTTTTGCAGGGAGCAGTGACTGGGCCTTAAGTGCTTAACTGCTCTGGATTTCGTTGACTTGATTAATCATAACCTCAATTCATGGCACATTATCAGTAGTCCAAGCCCAACTTTCCTGTTTAAGTCCCATGGGTCCCTCATTGCCAATCCCATCGGCTCTCTCCATCTATACTTCAGTATTTAGTATATGTTCTTCCAATCCATCTTTCATGTATTTGCTTATATACATGTTTATCTCTGAACAAATAGTAGGGTATTATTTTGTGTGAGCTTTTAAAATTGTAGGTACATAGTATGTCCTTTACATAATCTATTTTTCCATTTCACTCAAAATTATATTTTTGATACCTATCCATGTAAAATTATGAAGATCTGACTTGCATCCTGCCGTGGGGCAGTTAAATATTCTCTCTGTTTTTCCCAGTCTGTAAAGTGTGCATGGTCTATGTTAACCTTATAAAGCACTCATGCAGGGTAAATGCCGTGATTGGTGTGTTTTTGTGTATGTACAGACATACACATTCAGTAGAGGGTCTGACTTCTAGTAAAAGCCTGATAAATGTTCATTTCTATTTTATATTAGTATTGCAAAAAATAATCAGGGGCTTTCTTTTCTTTGCATGTCTGTACTACTGGTGGTAAACAAAACAAGAAAGTCCTTACCAAACATTTTGTCATCAACTAGGGGAACCCCAGAAAGGAGAAATCATACAGATGTAAACACTTAGCCTCTCTTCCAAATTCTAGAAAACACCAGACCTGGGAACCCTAGACCATTTTCACCCTTAAGAGGTGGCACTTTACTGTATTCCAACAACTGAGGTCTTAAAACATCTAATAAACGACAACGTCCTATTTTAGTTTCCTCCTAAAACAGAACAGGGGTCCTTTAAAAGCTCAAAAGATCCTAACAGCAGGGGAATCCAGCCCAGCTTAAGGCAGCAGTGCAAGGGCTTTCAGTTCTGCCCTCAGGGCTGAGAATCTTCCTCACAACCCTTCTTCTCTGCTGGTTGGCCCCTCATTCCTTTCCCTGCTGTGAGTGCTCTGAGAATCTGACCGGCTTTCACCTCTGCCCTTGACTCTCCCGTATGTTCTGTGACCTAGTGATGAGTCACATGACCTCAGGCTCAACCTTTTGCCTTAAACTGAATTATTCAGCTCCTGAGACAGAGTACGTTAGATAAGTAGCTCACCCCAACACCAGCTGAGTTATGGTGGATGAGATGATTGAGATTAGAATTGGCCTTGGCCATGTCTGGTCTCACAGCAGAGAGCCATTGAGCCCTTAGCACCATCTAGTCCTCTCTCTGCTTCCTCCTTTCCAGTCTCCTTTCTCCTGCCACGTCACAGAAGGAGAAAATACGTCTGCAAGGCCTGACACTGCTCATTGTTCAAACACCAGGGTAGCTCCAGGGCCAGATTGCTCAGGGCGATGATGACATCTGGGTGAAAGGTGATCCAGAAGAGGCCCTTAATGAGTGAACAGGATCAGGCATATCGGCCTTGTGGTTTTATAGTATCTTCTCTTGAGTTGGACCAGGTTTAAATCTATGATAAAAATTGAATCAGATTGAAATTTGAGATTAAAAAAAGGAAGGAGGTATTTTTTTTCAACTTGGCATGCTATTTTATCCCTGCGGTGTTGGATATGGTAGCCACTGGCCACATGTGACTGCCGAACGCTCAAACTGTGGCTAGTGCCTGAAGAGTGAATTGTTCATTTTAGCTTATTTAAATTTAAACAGCTACAGGTGGCTAGTGGCTACCTCAGTGGCCTGTCCAGCTTTAGACCAACATATACAAATATTTCTGGGTCTTTTAAGGTTCTGCTTATATACCTGTGATTGGAATTAAAATCAACTCTGCTCATTTTCTGTGTGTGACTGTAAGCTAACATGTCAATTGTTCCAGGTTTATTTGACCATTACCCATAAAACCATAGAATTTAATCATTATCATCATTCGTTCTTTTCTGTAAATGTTTCCTGAATAATTCCTATTTAAACAAGTCATTCTATGGGACTTAGATCTCTTGCCAGTAAACTCTTAGATTAGAAAAGGTACCTTAAGAATCCTCTAGTGTATATATGAGTGACCACCTTCTTTTGAACAGGACAGAATTGCATTTTCAAATTATTTTGATAACTGTCAGTTGTACTTTATGATAGTACGTGACCTTTGTTAGAGATGTTTATTACATCTGTGGTATTATATGCTAAAGAAGTTGGGCCAATCCTCCAAGGATGATTCCAGATAGGCTATCCATTGCTCTGTTACTTTGCATAAATTATTTGTAGAGCTTACCATTGTTTTTGTCTTGTAGCTACCAGGTGCAGGGTACTGAAGCATTTAAAAGTAGAAAATGCACCAATTGTGAACCGATTTGATTATGCACAATGCAAGAAACTGAACATGGATCAGGTACTAGACCAGATACTACGGATGCCTCCGGAGAGAAACCGCATCATATACCTACGCCCGATGCAGCAGGTACCGCGCCCGGCCCCTTTCTGATGTCACGTGTGGCAGTGATATCTTTTCTTATTCTTCAGCCATTGTGGATTTGGCATTTACTCGTTTGCTCAACCCACAGCGATGACTGTAGATTCTGAGTTCTTTTAACCAAGCGGGGCAGCCTTGCCGGTCTTCACTTAGGCTTCTCTGCTAGGTTTCTGGCAAGTTAAACATGAGCGTAGTTGTTACTCAGCAAGACTGGTTTCAGACTGCCCGATTCAAATTCTGGTTTACCGGCCTGTATCTAACTACTTGACTTCTGTCTTAGCTGTAAAATCAGAAGAATGAACCCTAGTTATTATGATGATTAAATTCTAACATTCAGACGTGTGAAGTGCCAAGCAGTTCCTGGCATGTAGTAAGCAGTCGTCATCATCATCATCTTCATTATTATGAAGAGTAGACACTGTTGTGCCTACACGAAATCATGGATGTTAGCTGAGCCTATCGGAGTAATCATTTCACAGTATTTGTAAAACAAACCCATGCCGTATGCCTTAAATTTATACATCAATGTATGTCAGTTATTTCTCAGTAAAACACAACAGAAAATAGAGTGAACATTGTATTATATATAAGACTCTGCTTAATGCCTAAGGAAAGCTGAAAGGAGCTAGTAAACAATCTGCAGTCAGTGTTGGAGCCTGGCCCCAGAGGAGGCATTTGAACACATTTTTTTTACTGAGTGTCTCTAATGTGCTGGGACTGAAAAAGACACAGGGCATCGTCCTTCCCTCAAGAAGTTGTCTTTCCGAGAAGGAGGGAGACATGAATGCCACTAAGATGGCAGAGAGGGGTTTCCTAAGTCGGGGTAAGGAGGAGGGCATCCATGGAAGGAAGCAATGCGAACAGGCTGCTCTTGAGCAAAGAGCTGGAAGAGGCAGTAGCCAGTGTGAATAGGGCATGTGGTGCTGCACACTCACAGTTCTGTGATGCAGTCAGTACTCACCTAGGAAGGACATACTCAGGAGTGGATTCCTGGGATCAGCTCCTGATTCCGATTCCCTGTTGAATGGGCATTTGTATAACCGTGCAGTGTAAATCACTGAGCTTGCTAGGCAGAGAATTTGCTAAGCCTCACTCCCAGCATGGCAAGCTGTGTCCAGGGCTGAATATGACATTGCATTTTCCAATCAGCCAACGATTATAAAACATAGTTCCCAGGAAAGAGTGTCTAAGCTCTGGGAGAGAGATTTCTACAGCGTCTGTTCCTCGGTCCCAAGCTCCCTGCTCTCCACCACAGGTGGACACGCTGACGCTGGAGCAGAAGCTGTTTAGCGGCCCCTACCCCTATCACATCTGCATTATCCATGAATTCAGCAACCCTCCTAACGTCCGGAACAAGGTTCGCATTCGCAGCTGGATGGACACCATAGCAAACATCAACCAGTAAGTAACCTTTGGCCCCAGGCCTTTTAGTCATTGTTGTTGCGAGGGCCACAGAAACAGACCCGAGTTATTCTTCACTCTAAGTGATCTCACCTGGGCTGCTTAGGCAGTGAAACGTGAAGTATAACGTGAGCGACTGAGGGAATGAAGACCTAAAACTAAAAAGCGTGTGTGTGTATCTGCAGCTGTTTGTTTTCAAATGTAAAGAAAAAGTCCAAGAACAGACTGTATACGTACATTTGACTTCATTTCTTTAGGCTCAGGGCATGGAAAAGAAATCAAGTTAAAACTGATGTTTTACATCATCAGGAAATTAGACTTTTTAGGCATTTGTTATATAAACATGTTAAGCACCTTATACACAAGACATTTGATTAGAGAGTGGCTTTCTTTACCTGATGTGATTTTGAGGACAGTGACGAAAGTAATTTTGATGTGACTGGATATGTATTCTCTAGTTTGAGTGTATCCTGCTTCTGTTAGATATTTAATATTTAATTTGTTGGAATGTTCGTTAGAATCTAGGCCTGGCGCAGTTTTGACAGTTCCTTTCTACCCCACACCTCAGCATATTTCCAGTTTTGTAATTTTTGTTTGATTATTCTTGTTGCCTCCAGAGAGCTCATTAAGTATGAATTCTTCCCTGAAGCCACACGAACTGAAGACGACTTGAAGAAGCACCCCAAGTACCCCTGGGGCCGAGAAATCTATACTCTAGAAGGTAAGCACCTACAGGTACTTGGGAAGCTCGAGAGCTGCTAAAAGTAGACGGAGAGACATGTCTTAGGGAAGACAGGAGTGGGACCCGTACAGTTCGTCAGGATGGCGGAGCCTGGAATACCTGCAGGGAGCGGGAGCCGGGCAGAAGCTACTCTCCCTGGGCGTGTCTTTACCATCGCTAACGTAGTCAGGAGCAGTGTCAAACACGGAGAGTAGACGAAAGTTGAAACTTGCTGCAGTTTGAGAGTTGGAAGTGACTTGAGGGCACCTGTCTCAGCCTCTTTATTTTATATAAAGAGAGAGAGAGAGAAAAAAATTGAGGCTTAGCGAAAGCACAGGATGAGCAAGACCCTGTGACCAAGCAGTAGCAGAACCAGAACTAGAATTTACCCCTCCTGGTCCAGTGCTTTTTCAGCCATGAGAGACAGAAGCACGTTTTACCTCCTGCCTACGAAGCGCTGTGCGTTGGCCCTGCCGTTGCCTCCCCAGCAGTAGGCTGTTCATTGTCTCCTTCCAGGGGTTGTGGACGGTGCACCGTACTCCATGATTTCTGACTTCCCCTGGTTGCGATCACTGCGGGCAGCAGAACCCAACAGCTTCGCCAGATACGACTTTGAAGACGACGAAGAAAGTAACTATGACCTGGCTTGTTTGTGCCTCTGGTTTGGGCTCACTCGCTGTTAGATGCTTACGTCTTGTGTGAGAGTTAGGAGCAGCGTGGCTGCTGAACCGCTTACCATGGAAATGTTTTTCTTTGCTTTGGGTTATCGCTGGTTGTCTCCCGACAACAATCAATCGACTTACCAGGGATTCCTGAAGGTTGGTGGGAAGGATTCCTTCAGACGGATTTTCCTACCTACCTAGATATTTTTATTACCTGTTCATAATTTTGTTACTCCTTATTGCCAAGTATATTGTTTCAGTTTGTTCCAGTCACGCTGTTCATTGTGTAGCATGGAGGAAATTATGATTTAGATGGAGATATTTGGCATAGGAGGACTTGAAGGAAAGTTTGAATGGAGTTCTTCTAGGTGTTAGCACACTTGCATATCTACTTGCAGGATGTTTCAAAAACTATTTTATGAGTCTATGGATTTTATAAGCTACGTGTGCATCTGTGGCTGACTTGGTCTCTCTGGTGCATCTCTACCTCGGCCTTTAGCCATGGGCTGTCTTGGGCATCAAACGGGGGGTGCAACTAAACTGACTGGGACCTAGGCCATGAACATACCTTTGTCAGTGGCATTGCATGACCATGTAGAGGCATATCTCAGGGACTAGCTTACTTGATCGACTTCCCAAGTGAGTCTGATAATCATTCGTTTCCCTTTTCTTTCTAATTTCCAAGGCACCATCTATGCTCCTCGAAGGAAAGGGCAGCTGTCCGCAGACATCTGTATGGAAACAATAGGAGAAGAAATTTCAGAGATGCGCCAGATGAGGAGAGGGGTGTTTCAGCGAGTGGTGGCGATTTTTATCCACTACTGTGATGTCAATGGAGAGCCGGTCGAAGATGACTACATTTGACTGGCCCCTCCTGCTTTCCAGCTCTTCCGGCAGAGCCGCTGAGGCTGCGCAGCCACCAGAGAAAGCTCCAGGGGACTCTGGGCCGCCCAGCTCTGGCATACAGGAAATGCGTAAGGACACTGAAGTTGTATACAAAGATTTGTACATAAAGGAGCTATACAGATACTTCCTGAGTACCAACTTTATATCATATGTTTATACAGTTTAATTTAAAAGTTCATTTTAATGAAGGCAGATCATTGGAAAGAGTTCATTCTCCTGACTTAGTTTATAAAGTCACTTCTTGGCTGAGCCTCATTTACTATATTCATAATCACTGTCACCCCTAAATCTGTGCCTTTTCTTCTCGAGCGAAGCAGTTTGAGTAAATCTGTTAAAGAGTCCTTGTGTCTTGTGTGCTTTTTTTGTGTTACTATTAAAACAAACCGAACCCTGTAGTCAGAGGTGGCTACATGTTTCTGTACGAAATTGTGGTTCTTTTTTCTCTTGGTATTATAGTTGCCCTATTTCTTAAACTCAAATAAAAAGACTCATGAGTTTAAAAACAACAACTGAGTTATGAGAGAAATGGAAAATTTTCCAAAGCATCTCTAGTTATTTATTTCCACATGCAATTGTGTACTTGCTTTATCTTGAATATAAAAATAAAAGTTCACTAAAAACTTTTATCTTGCCTTGGACCTGACTCCCTCTTTTTCAAGAAGAAGAGCAAATGCCACGCAAAAAAGGAACATGCTTAAACTGAAGGTCTGGAGGAATCTTACAAACTCTTCAAATACAGGCACATACTGCGTAACGACCTTTCCATCAACAGCGGGCCACGTGTACAGTGGTGGTCCCGTAGGATTATAATGGAGCTAAAACAGTCCTGTCCCCGAGTGATGTCAGCTACCTGTAAAGCCTTAGCCCAACGCACCCCTGCAGTGAGAGCCCTGGCGGGTCTTTCCGTGATGCCAGGGTGAGAGTCTGACTGCAGAGCCTCCATCTCAGAGGTGGCTGCACGTTGCCAGCCACAGGCGAGGCCAAGGAGCCAGGCCTCATCTCCCCTCCGAGGCGACTTTGTTTGAGAGATCTTGGTTGACTTCATTCACTGACCCCTTGGGCGGCTTGTTTGTTGTCTTCCCACGCTGTATATTCCTGCTCTACGGTTTAAATTCAATAAAGAATGAGCCCTTGAAACTCTGGGCCCCCATCCTCAAGCCCAGTGAAAGCAGAAGCCCGGGCCCGTGCTCTCCACCCTTGGACTTGCCGTGTGGCTCCGAGTGTCCTGTGTAATATCCAGGTCTTGTAATAAACCTCGCCTTCAGGTTCACTTGACGGTCACTGCTGAGGGCCGCCTTGCAGTCAAGAACCACAAGGGCCGGTCCAGCCACAACATGGGTTACTGATGGGCTGAAACTGGCACAGAGCAGTTACATGTTTGTGGTGATGGTGTAAACGAACCTGGGCCACCAGCCGTATAAAAACAGTTACAGTAGTAGGGCTAGGCCACCCGGGCTTGTGTAAGTGCACTCTGACGCATGCACAGTGACAATTGCTGAACGACACATTTCTCAGAGCATAAGCCCCTTGTTAAGTGGTGCAGGACTGGAATATGTCATGGTCTGTTGAGGGGTAAGGGCCCTTCGAGCTTATCTAGTCCAACCCCCTCGTTTACAGGAGAGAAGCCCAGAGAGGGACAAGCTCGCCGGTGGTCAGGAGCTGGTTAAGGCCAGGTAGGACAGGAATCCAGGTGCCTGATTCCCAGGGGCTGCCTCCCCCATTAATGTCCACAGAAAGGCAGGCGTGGCAGCAAGCTTTCCTAACGCTAAAACACTGTGAATGATGTCTTTCCACAAAGCCGCCCCTTTCCAAGGCTTTAAAAACTCCTCCATTACATTAGGAAGAGCGTTGGGGACTGCATTCAGTCCTCTCGCTAGCACCTTGCTTTTAACTCAGCTAACCCTCCTTTTAACTAAACGAGTATATCCTACTCTCCAGGCTAGAAATGTGATCAGTAAAAGACAGGAACATTCTAGATACTTCAAAATAATACAAAATCCCCAACTCTGTTTAAGATTCAATCCAAACCTCATTTTTCACTGTACCTGCAACCAAATAATCTAACTCAGCGATTTCCAACCCCTTTCATCTCATGGCACACATATACTGATTACTAAAATTCGATGGCATGCCAAAAAAAAAATTATATATATATATATATCTGATACACACACACACACACACATACACACACAAAGGTATAATTTTGGTTCATTCACACCGGACGGTTATTGTGTTGGCTGTTGTCACTCTTTTTATTTGGCAATCTAAGGGAAAAGAGGTCAGAGCCCCTGGCAGAATAATCGGGTATTGCATGTGTTAAAAATTCTTGTGGCACACAGTGTGCCTCCCTCCCGCACACCAACTGAAAATCGCTGGTCTAACTAATGCTTAGATGAGCCACTAGAGGTCGCTGCTTTCTAGCGTTTGTTGATCCTCCACACGGTCGCACTTAATGCACTGTCAGAGCAGCAGGGGGCGCTGGAGTCATTCTACAGAGGCCCACACTGGCCCAGCTAAAGGGAATTTGGTAGCTGCCTCTGGAATGGATGGGTGGATAGTGATGGCCCAACAGCACAGAGCCAGGTAGTAAATGCTTCAGGCTCAGTTGTGACAACAACTCCGCTACTGTGGTGTGAAAGCAGCAACAGAAAATCCATCAACAAACGGGTGTGGCTGTGTTCCAACACAACTTTATTTATGGACACAAATCGAATTGCACGTAATTTTCACGTCACAAAATAAATACCTTTTAATTTGTTTCCAACCACTTCAAAAAGTAAAAACTAGTCTTAGTTTACAGACCGGAGGATTTGCCGACACCGTGGACAACCGCGTTGTCCTGTTCCTCCTTCGAGGAATGTGGCCCTGGCACATGTTTAAAAGGTTAAGGATGTTTCCAGGATGGACTCCTGAGTTAATGGGAATGGCAGAGAGAGAATCGGGTTTCTCTCGGTGAGGCCGGGTGTGTGAGCCCTAATAGTCTCTCCAAATAAGAGCAGGCACCACAGTTCTTACAGGGACTCCGCATTTAGATTCAGAAGGCCTGGGTTCGGATTCTGACACCCTGAATTGCCTGCTGGGTGACCTGCAGATAGTCACAAGCCTGACTCTGGAGCCTCAGTCCCCTCATCTGTGAAATGGTTAGCAGTGAATAAATACCACGCCCACCGCACAGGGCAGTCGTGAAGGCCCAGCGAGAGCGCCGGTCCGCCGGAGTGGGAGCAAGTAGAGGTGGTATGGCTCCCGCGGTGGCTCCCTTGAGTAGGGAAGGTCTCTGTTTTTCTAGTCTTCCCCAGGATGGCAGGAAGCAGAGAGAAGGGCTGAGGCCACGAAGCAGTTTCAAGGTGTCTACCAGGTGCTTTCTATACACTCACACTAACACTTCAAAACGTGCCTGGTCCTACGTCCCCTACTTTACTGCCGGGGACACTGGGGTCGAGCGGGCTAGAAATCTGGCTCGAAAACACAAATCTAGGCAGCGGAAGCAGGAGCTGGCAGCCTGACTCCAAAGCCTGTGCAAATTGAGCAAAGTGCCTCTGCCCCCCGAAGGGAGGGGGAGCCCGGGAGCCGTGTAAGGGCCGCTCTTCCCACAGGGAAGCTGCCAAGTCAGAGCTGCTGCTGCCGCTTAAGCTTGAAACCTCGCCAGCTGACCCTCACGTGGGGGCACAGGCCGGGCAGGGGGCGGCTGAGCCGAGGCCTCCGAGCCCCGCGCAGACGGGGCGCAGCCGCGACGAGGCGACACTGCGAACTCTGCAGGGCCCGTCCTCTGAACCGCGCACAGCGGCCGGAAAGGGTGAAGGGGACCCACGCGCTGATGTGAAGTGGGGCTGGCGGGGCAATTTGCAGGTTGTTATAAACGGCCTCGCCTTCTTTCCACGGAAGAACGAAAGGAGCCGTGCCTTTTCACGTGCCCGTTTACACACCCGCAAACCCAGACCCGCTCTTGAATGACGTGTAAGCCAGGCCATAAAAGCGATTACTTCTTGGAATGGGACTTAGTTGGAGTCCAAGGGTATTTTGTTGTATCTATATTATTAGAACTTTTTAGAATGAGAATGGACTGCAGAAATCCATTATTTGTACAACCCATCATTTATGTGGCCCCCAAATACAGAATCTGTATATTTAGAAATACATTGAAAGCAGGGGAGGAAGGAAGCACTGTTAGAACGGGGTGAGCTGAAGTGTTTCGGTCTCGACTTCTGTCCCGCGTGCACTCTGTGTCCTTGGGCAAATCACTTTTCCCGACACAGTCTGTTTCCTTTCCTATCAAATGAAGTCAATAATCCCCCACCCAAGCTGCTGGGGGGGTTGCTCAGCGACGCTGCGCAGCTACAGAGAACCCGCTGGGAGCCTGCGATACCATTGAGACCGGCTGGTTATTAATAACAGGCAAGGAGCCAAGGGAAGGCCGGACATTACAGGCATGTCATCTGGGCAGCGTCACCAGGGAACAGTGGGGGAAGGGGTTCAACAAAAGGGGACAAATGCAGGCGCAGTGCAGTTGGGGTGCCTGTCAGAGATTATTAGCCAGAGTGAGAGAAACCGCTGCAAGCCCTCAAAAATTTGGGAATACAAAATGCCCTAAACAAAGGAGTGTTTTCTCTTGCATTCGCCCACACAGCCCACGGCCATGCGGACCCCACACCTAGTGGACTGCAGCTGGGAACACAAGCTAAGCTCGCCCGACGCTGGATTGGATGGTCCCACCACGGAACAGAAACCCTGGACCCTGGCTCTGATTCCAGCTCTGCCGAAGCTCCAGCTCCCTTCCTTCCTTGGGGGGACAAAGGGAAATGGGACCGTGGAAACTCAAGGGTTTCTCCAGTACCTCCTCCCATGCCAGTCTCAGAAAATTCTTTTTCTCGGGATATCACAAGAAATCCACCCCCTCTGGTCAGCCACCCGCCTGTACCCCTCCGTTGTTCGGAGGTGGAGACCAAGGCTCGGGGGGCGGAGGGTGCCCACGAAAGCAACAGAGCGAGGGAGAGGCAGAGCTTCCCGCTGGATGGGCATGGCCCCTGTTGGGCCCCAGATCCCAAGCTGATGCAGAAGGGACACCTCAGGCCACAGGAGACGGGGAGGCGGCCGCACTTGGCTGGCTCACTGCTCCCTCCCAGCTCTGGGGCAGCCCGTGACCGCGCAGTAAACCAGTCCAGCGATGGGCAGTGTCGCCACGGTCAGGCCCGGGCGGAGGGTCAGGCTGCCTGTGGGCGCACTCGGCCCGCACCGCCCAGGTCTGTGTCCTTGGGCAGCAGGCCTCTCAGCCGAGGTCTGCTCGTCCGTGACTCTGGCATTTATCTTGTAAGGATTTCATGGGGATTAAATGAGCTAATCCACGAAAAGCACTGACTATGTGCCTAGCAGAAAGGAGCTCATTAAACGTTAGCTTCACTCTTTCATGCTACATTATTATTATTATTATTATTAATTATTGACTCAGATATGTTCTTGGTGAGCTGAAAATAAGGGAAAGGAGACATGTAGTCTAAATAAAATATAACAGCAGTTAAAACTTTAACTTCCCTTCTGTGTTTCCGAAAGTGCGGAACGCAGCTGCAGTTGAATCACAGTAACTCACAAAGTTTGGAAGCCCATCTCTGGGATGTTCTTCTGCAACCTTCCCTTGCTGAAAGGGTCCTTCCTCAGACCCCCGAGGTGGGGTGCCCCTAGCAGCTCCCCAACACCCTCGGCTCCCTTTAAACACAGAAGCCTGGAGCAGCTCTGAGTGCTGGCTTCTCATTAGAGCTGAATAACCTTGTTTTGTTATCTATTTATCTCAGTGGCTGCTTTCTATTTATGGCGAGTAGCACTGATTTTCTATTTCGGGCACCAATATAATGTTTCTTCCCAAAATAAATTTGTGTAAGTGAAAACCTGAATTGACTTAAATTAAAATATTACGTAAATAACAGCGCGGGCAGGAAACACATTTGGTAAAAATCCCAATGTGGCCCTGGGTGGATGGGCGTGGGAACACTCACGTCTCCGACCAGCTCTGAGATTTTCTCCGGTGCGGAGACGAGACAAGTGAGGCAAGTGTGGGAAGTGACACGATGTTCCAAACTCAGGCCTCCAGATCCACCCCGACGTGTTTAAATTCAAACCAAATATTCAGCCTCCGTTGTCCAGCCTGGGTGGGAGAGAGACTGCAGGTGTGTAGAGGGGCCCGGGCACTCACCTCCTTTCCCCTCTGGACCAGCTGCTCCAGGAGGGACTTTGACCAGAGCAGAGTGGAGTCATAGGGTAAAAGACACAACACCAAAGAGAAAAGTGGGCCGGGAGACAGCACAGCCCAGGATGACATTACTGCTGTTCCGAGGACAATATTAAAGGCATAGTTACAGCCTCT